TATAAGCATAATTTTAGCAATTAAGAAGTTTTGAGAAAAGAAATTATCACACCTTTAACCTCAATTATTAGGGGAACACGAACATCCCCTTTTATCACTAATGCTTTTTCTTACCCTTCTTTTTTATGATCAATACTGCAACTAATCCTAACGACAAAAATATTCCACCACCAACCACTCAACCAGTAGGGAAGTTATTATTGGATTTATTAGTATTTTGACTAGACCAATTTTTGGCTTTTTCTAGCAATTCATTAACTATGTCTTTTTTCTGACTATAAGCATTTTGAGTGCATTCAGAATTATTTTGGGTAAATTCTTGTAATTCTTTGTATTTGCTTTTAATTTTCTTTTGATCACCCGACTTTATGGCTTGTTCGACCTCCGAGATTAATTTATTGAGGGCTTTTACTCCGGCATCATTTAAAGTTTCCTTTCTTATCTGTTTGGCCTCCTCAGGTTTGATATTATTATTCAATTCGTCCAGTTTTTGCTGGCTTTCTGAACTTAAATCACCTGCTTTTATTCCGAATTTTTGTAATTCATTAACTACTTCTGTTTTAATAAGATTTCTTAATCTTTCTGGGTCAATTTTGCCTAAATTATCTTCGGCTTGGTCTTTCTGTTTTTTTAATTCGGGGTCAGCACTGTTTTTTACGGTTTCGTTGGCTTCATTAAGGGCATTTGCTATTTCTTTTTGAGTAACACCAGGGCTAACTCCTAATATTTGGTATGCATCCATAATATTTTTAATTTTAATAAAAACTTTTAATGATTAGCCTCCACTCTCGCTACATTTTTTCTGCTTGATAACTTTCTAGTTTGGTTGTCTGATTTACTTAATTCAGTTTGGACTTAACAAGTATTTTTTTCCAACGGATAAAACAACTCTTTTATCTTTACTAATCCTCAGGCAATTAATCAAAAAGCAAAAAGAGCAGCAAAAACAAATAACAAAAATTTTCCATATTCTTGTTTTTCCACTCACTCAAACATCGGTATCATATATTTTTTTCACGGCTTAGTCAGATATTTTTCCTCAACTGAAAATCTTCTAATTAGGTTGACAAAAAAGAATAAGATAGGTTGAATAATCAGATAAGCAAAAGTCTTTTTTTGATAAATCCTTTGGGCGGGAAATTTAGCAAACTTAAA